ACAATGAAGAGGTTTTGCGAAAGGCGTCGAAAATGTAGTTTAAAACGGGAAAGAAAAATCACGACCATCCAGTGTCGCCATTATTTCACCCACAATAAACTACCAAATAAACAAACAAACAAACTGATATTCAACTGATTATTCACCGACGTACAACTAATAAATAAATAAAAAAACTTCAAATACAAACACGCAACACAGCAATAACAACAACAACAAGAAAGAAAGATAGAAAGAAAGAAAGAAGAAGAAGAAGAAGACGAAGAAGAAGAAGAAGAAGAAGAAGAAGAAGGAAAAAAATACATATTCTCTTCTTTCAATTCATATTTCAAAGAATATTCACTAACCCGATGTATTGACAGATTGACTATAAACATAAATCAAACCGTCCAGATAAACAGACAATAGACCATAGATAAACAAATAGATAGATAATCGATAAACAAATAGACAGACAATAGATAAACAAATAGATAGATAATCGATAAAAAAATAGACAGACAATAGATAAACAAATAGATAGATAATCGATAAACAAATAGACAGACAATAGATAAACAAATAGATAGATAATCGATAGACAAATAGACAGACATAGATAAACATAGATAATCGATAAACAAATAAGACAATAGATAAACAAATAGATAGGATAATAGATAGATAGATAATAGATAGACAAATAGATAGACAATAGATAAACAAATAGCATAGATAAACAAATATAGACAATAGATAAACAAATAGAGAGACATAGATAGACAATAGATAAACAAATAGATAGAATAGATAAACAATAGATACAATAGAACAAATAGATAGATAGATAAACAAATAGATAGACAATAGATAAACAAATAGATAGACAATAGATAAACAATAGATATAATAAACAAATAGATAGACAATAGATAAACAAATAGATAGACAATAGATAAACAAATAGATAGACAATAGATAAACAAATAGATAGACAATAGATAAACAAATAGATAGACAATAGATAAACAAATAGATAACAATAGATAAACAAATAGATAGACAATAGATAAACAATAGATAGACAATAGATAGATAGACAATAGATAAACAAATAGATAGACAATAGATAACAAATAGATAGACAATAGATAAACAATAGATAGACACAAATAGATGACAATAGATACATAGATAGATTATAGATAGAAACAAATAGATAGACAATAGATAAACAAATAGATAGACAATAGATAAACAAAATAGATAGAAACAAATAGATAGACAATAGATAAACAAATAGATAGACAATAGATAAACAAATAGATAGACAATAGATAAACAAATAGATAGACAATAGATAACAATAGATAGAACAATAGATAGATAGATAGATAGACAATAGATAAACAAATAGATAGACAATAGATAAACAAATAGATAGACAATAGACAAATAGATAGACAATAGATAAACAAATAGATAGACAATAGATAAACAAATAGATAGACAATAGACAAATAGATAGACATAGATAAACAATAGATAGACAATAGATAAACAAATAGATAGATAGAAACAAATAGATATAGACAAACAAATAGATAGACAATAGACAAACAAATAGATAGACAATAGATAAACAAATAGATAGACAAGATAGATTAGATAAACAAATAGATAGACAATAGATAAACAAATAGATAGACAATAGATAGATAAACAATAGATAGACAATAGATACAATAGATAGACAATAGATAAACAAATAGATAGACATAGATAAACAAATAGATACAATAGATAACAAATAGATAGACAATAGATAAACAAATAGATAGACAATAGACAAACAAATAGATAGACAATAGATAAACAAATAGATAGACAATAGATGAACAAATAGATAGACAATAGATAAACAAATAGATAGACAATAGATAAACAAATAGATAGACAATAGATAACAATAGATAGACAATAGATAAACAAATAGATAGACAATAGATAAACAAATAGATAGACAATAGATAAACAAATAGATAGACAATAGATAAACAAATAACAAATAGATAGACAATAGATAACAAATAGATAGATAGATAAACAAATAGACAATAGATAAACAAATAGATAGAAATAGATAACAAATAGACAATAGATAGATAGACAATAGATAAACAAATAGATAGACAATAGATAACAATAGACAATAGACAAACAAATAGATAGACAATAGATAAACAAATAGATAGACAATAGATAAACAAATAGATAGACAATAGACAAACAAATAGATAGACAATAGATAAACAAATAGATAGACATAGACAAATAGACAATAGAACAAATAGATAGACAATAGACAAATTAGATAAAACAATAGATAGACAATAGATAAACAAATAGATAGACAATAGATAAACAAATAGATAGACAATAGATAAACAAGATAGATAGACAATAGATAGACAATAATAAACAAATAGATAGACAATAGATAAACAATAGATAGACAATAGATAGACAATAGATAAACAAAATAGAATAGATAGACAATAGATAGGATAGATAGACAATAGATAAACAAATAGATATAGACAGACAAACAAATAGATAGATAACAATAGATAGATAAACAAATAGATAGACAATAGATAAAAAATAGATAGATAGACAATAGATAAACAAAAATAGATAGATAGACAATAGATTAACATAGATAGACATAGATAAACAAATAGATAGATAGATAACAATAGATAACAATAGATAGACAATAGATAGATAGACAATAGATAAACAAATAGATAGACAATAGATAGATAGACAATAGATAATAGATAATAAACAAATAGATAATAGATAAACACAATAGATAGAAACAAATAGATAGATAATAACAACAAATAGATAGACAATAGATAAACAAATAGATAGACAATAGATAAACAAATAGATAGACAATAGATATAGAACAAATAGATAGACAATAGATAAACAATAGATAGACAATAGATAACAAATAGATAGATAGACATAGATAGAAACGATAGATAGACAATACAATAGATAAACAAATAGATAGACAATATAAACAGAGATAGATAGACAATAGATAAACAAATAGATAGAAATAGATAACAATAGATAGACAATAGAACAATAGATAGACAATATAACAATAATAGACAATAGATAGACAATAGATAGATAAACAGATAGACAATAGATAAACAATAGATAAACAAATAGATAGACAATAGATAAACAAATAGATAGACAATAGATAAACAAATAGATAGACAATAGATAAACAAATATGATAGACAACAGATAGACAATAGACAAATGATAGATAGATAACAAATAGATAGAATAGAGAAATAGATAAACAAATAGATAGATAGACAATAGATAAACAACATAGATAGACAATAGATAAACAAATAGATAGACAATAGATAAACAAATAGACAATAGAACAAATAGATAGACAATAGATAAACAAATAGATAGATAGATAAACAAATAGATAGACACTAGATTAGACAATAGATAATACAACAATAGATAGATAGACAATAGATAAACAAATAGATAGACAATAGATAAACAAATAATAGACAATAGATAAACAAATAGATAGAAATAGATAAACAAATAGATATAGATAAACAAATAGATAGACATAGAGATAGACAATAGATAGGATAAACAATAGATAGACAATAGATAAACAAATAGATATAGATAAACAAATAGATAGACATAGATAAACAATAGATAGACAATAGAATATAACAAATAGATAGACAATAGATAAACAAATAGATAGACAATAGATAAACAAATAGATAGAATAGATAAACAAATAGACAATAGAAATAGAATAGACAATAGATAACATAGAATAGAACATAGAGATAACAGACAATAGATAGAACAAATAGATAGACAATAGATAAACAAATAGATAGATAAACAAATAAATAGATAGATAAACACAATAAACAAATAGATAGACAATAGATAGATAACAATAGATAGACAATAGATATAGATAGACAATAGATAAACAGATAGATAGATAGAAACAAATAGATAGACAATAGATAAACAAATAGATAGACAATAGATAAACAAATAGATAGACAATAGATAAACAAATAGATAGACAATAGATAAACAAATAGATAGACAATAGATAAACAAATAGATAGACAATAGACAAACAAATAGATAGACAATAGATAAACAAATAGATAGACAATAGATAAACAATAGATAACATAGATAGACAATAGATAAACAAATAGAAATAGATATAGATAGACATAGATAGACAATAGATATAGTAGATGAACAAATAGATAGACAATAGATAAACAAATAGATAGACATAGATAAACATAGCAATAAGACATAGACAATAGATAAACAAATAGATAGACAATAGATAAACAAATAGATAGACAATAGATAACCCAAACAGACCGACTGCCCTGACCTGACCTAAACGAGCCCCATGTCTTGTTACGCAAATTCGAGCAGGTTGATAGTTTAATCTAGCGAATAAACTGTTTCTCTGGACAGGTGACTTACTAGATAAACTTTAGCATTAGATTGATAGACATGGTAAATGATATATAAATTGATTTAGTACATAATCTAGTCATGCCGATAGGTAAACCAATCAATTCGCTAGATAAACCGACCAGGTAAGTAATCATTCCGATTGGTTAGCATAAACCAAACCAAGCCCTCGGGATAAACCAAACTAAACCCCCCAAGATAAACTAAATCCCTCAAAATAAACCAACCCCTCAGGGTAAACTGAAATATTTACAAAAAAAAAAAAAAAATCAAGAAAAAAACAACCAAAACCCTCAAGATAAACCAAATCCTCTAGATAAACCAACCTAAACCCTTAAAGACAAACCATCCATCAACATAAACCAAACCCTTAAATAAACAAACCTTAAACCAAACCCTCAACATAAACCAAACGGCATCCTCAT